TACGATGAAAGAAAAGAATCGTGGAGTCCGCCGGACGTAACACAAATATGCCGATAGAGAGAAGAGAAAATGCACAAATAAAATAATACAGAAGCATGTATGCAATGGACATACTTCGGCACCATTCCTTCTATGCCTGCTCATCTCGTGATGGTTATGATTACATCAATGCACTTCTTTTCTACTTGTGGCACAGATAGGGTCCATATGTGGCGCAATCTAAACACAGACGATATACAATTTGCGGAAAGAGTTTCAAACAAAGTCTTAATGAAGTTGAAATTTGAATGGTTTAAGTCTCTTAAGAAGGTGAAGATTCCGAAACTGCAACTTGTCGCAATCCCAGGTTTTCGAAATGATATTAATATGAACTTTGGACTCGTCGCAATAAGGTAATAGAAAAATTGGGAAGAAATATTAGTCCATTGACAAGCAATTTTTTTAATCAAAATTAGAAATACGTACACCAAAATACATATACCAAATTTAGAATCGCATATATTTTTATATAAAATTATAAAATTATTTTTCAATAAATAACTATACATGTATATATAAAACATATACGGCACATCACATTGCATAATTAGTCTGTACAATAATTCTTATGTCATATCATTTATGTTAGATTCAGAAAACATCGCTATTTTTACATCAGAAAAAGCATTAAGATTATTATTATTTATACGAGCTTAGGTTTACTGTTTAAGTTCCATAAATTTGATTCTTGTGTTTTTTTTTTAGAGAAACAAGTATTATTTACAACGAAAATCTACATTCTATTGCGCATAAAATAGAAGCGGCATGGTCGATAACACGTGGAATAGTATATCAATGGTTTGGTAATTTAATTAATCCATCTTGGTGGTCTAAGTTGTGGTTAAACGATGATCTTATTGCATTGCTCGGAATGGACGTTATGAATGCCGTCAATGCTATTGAGGTTATTATGTTTTCTTAATGTATATCTTTAATGCTGAATATATGTAATTATATGCAATACTTGATATCAAGATAGTAGGAAAGTTCTGGAACTATATATTTATAATTAAAAAAAATGTACAAACTGTTTAAACTGGTATAAATCTTTTTCATATCTTAAGAGACTACTATGCGCTGATTATTTGGCACTTTTAAATTGTTATAAATTCTGTAGTAAAAATAAAAATTTGGTTAAAAAATAACACATATTGAAATTATAATAATTTCAGCGATGGAGCAAGAAATAGTATTAATGCATCCTATTAATGTGTACATTTTCTTTGACTAAATAAATATTTACTTGATTATTACAATAATAAAACATTTCTCTTTAGCATTACACAAATTCGGAGATATTGGATTTACTCATAGTTCAGACTCAATATGAATCTCTCCAATTGGATGATTATAACTTTACGCAGTCTCTTTTATCAGAAGCCAGCAGTCCTCTTGAAATTAATTCATTTTCCTCTTTTTCTCGTTACATTAAAGGTAAAAATCAATAAATATAATTAAACAATTGTTTATAAATTTTGAAATGTGAAAGTTAAAATAGAAAACATAATATAGAATAGAATAGTATAGAAATAATATTACTATTATCTGCAGTTTAACAATATATTAATTTTGTTCTGACAATGTAAGATAAAAATAATATAATCACAATTAAAAATTAATCTGTATTTATATGCAATCATTTTTAATTATCAAAAATTACAAATTTGTATACATTGCAATTTATATACATAAGTTGTTTGTCTATTTAAACTATACAACTAAAATTTATAGACATTGCAATTTATATACATAAATTGTTTAATTCTATTTAAACTATACATAAATTACTCTTACATATGATATGAATTATAGCACTTTTGATATTGCGCATGCTGCAATATTTGGTTACTGAGGAAGTGTTTTGGAAAGGTGTCAGTCGATATTTAAATATACAGTGAGTAATATGATATTGTATATGTGTGTAAAATTTTTGTCAGATTATTTTTTTTCCTGGTTGATGATTTTCTTTTTTTGATTAATATAAATAATTTAGATTCTTTTCTTTGTCCTTAAACTTTTATTCTGTTTCCTTATTATATAACAATTTTCCTATTATATAGCAATTAAATTGCTATTTCTTATTTCTTACTATCTTTCTTCTACTATTTTATCTTGCTTTATCTTACCTGTATGTTTTAATATTTATTACATAATAGATTTTATTATATTGCTTATCAACTCTTTATATTCTGCCTTATCTAAGAAAAAACAAATTCTAAATTTTTTTTATTTTACCTTATATTCTAATTGGCAAATTTATATTATATCTATTTCGTTTCCCATTTTTTATTTTATAAATCCTTGCAACACTCTCTTTTTTATTTTTTTTTGTTTAAATATGTAATTATATAATTGGAATATACTAATCGTTTACACATTTATTTATTACATTTTTTACATTTTTATGTAAATAAATACAAATATTTGCGTCAAAAATTATCGGTTTTATTTAATGATATACTAATGTTTCTACGAATAAATCCACTTTAGATCGTCCTTAGCATTATTAATCGAAGCGCATTACAACGATAAAAAAACTAATTAAAACTTATAGCAATAAAAGCGAAAAACCTCTCCATAGTGATAGCCGATCTGATGTACTTCAATCGCATCATGAGAGTCGGTGACAAAAATCACACACAGATCTATATAAAATTAAATATATTAATACATATTAGTCATAATACGTAAAAGTCCGCGTCTGGCTTTTATTTATTCTTTATATTTAAATTTGTTTATAATATATATTGTTGCAGAGGCATTTGACAATATACAATAATTAAATATTGTCAAATGTACACATGATTAATTTCGTTGAAGTTTAAATTATTTTTTGTTTTTCTATTTCAACTTTAGTTTGACGTCGTGCAAATTTTAATTTTATAGTTTCACGATATTTATTAAGAGAGAGTGAGAGAAAGAAAGAGTTAGATTCTATTATAAAAATTCAATTTTATATATTTGAATAAAATAGGAAGTGTTATATATATGTTAAAAAGGAAAAAAATAGACTTATTTATAGTAGTATTTATACAGTTTATATACTTTATAATTTATAATAGTATAAAATATATAAATAATACACGACAAAAGATTATTAGTTTTGTAAGCTCATTATATATAATTTAATTAATTAAACACAAATTAATTTATAAATTTGCATAGACATCATAATATATACGCATGCTTTTGCAAATAATAAGAAATTAATATAATATTTCAGACAAAGTTAAAGTACATGTTAAGAGGTCTCCTTTCAAACATAAAATACAGAGAAAGTTCCGAAGAGGACGAATTTACTAAATGTTTAAGACAAGAAGCCATTAAATTTTGGCATGTATTTTTGGCGACACCACCTGTCAGAGAAGAGCTTACGAAAGATTGTTAGAGCATATCTCTGTCAGACATACGCGAGAATACCTAAACATCTGATACGCGATAACGCGAACCTGCTGATCCTGTTCAAATAAGATGGTACCAACCTGAAACATGTGTACAACGATCACGTGAATACCGACATGCCGTACGATGAATTTTGCGCGTTGTGTCGCGATTGTTGGCAGCGCAAGTACGGATTCGTAGTGATAGACAAGGACAGCTCGCTCAACGATGGTCGATACAAAAAAGGATTTAACGTGTTCGCGATACCGCAAAACGATTAGTTTTTGCCGATACTTTGTCGGCGTGAAACGTAAAAGAGAGATCGACATTTTTGCTTTTCCACGATGGCTGCGATCGATAAGAGTGAGGATATTCGCGAGCGCGAGAAGATTGCGAGGGCAATTGTGAAAACTAGCGAATCGATTCGCAAGAAACATCGCGCTTTGAAGACCGGTAAGATCGAGGAACACCGCAAATGAGAAAACGATCCAACGTCAGGTCGGATCGCTCACCGGCATCGCATAAATCGAAACGCTCTACTGAATGTACCGGCGATAACCTCTACACCGTCCGCGACAGTGAGAACCACACAACCTACGATGCCCGAATTATTCGCGAGCCAGGATGTTTTTGAAACCACGGACGACCCACTCGTGACATCCGTTCGAAATCAGTTGCAAACGCCGGAAGGTCAAGAAACGTTGCGAGATCAGTTAGGTCCACTGGGTCGAAGATACATCTGGCCTGTCCTGAGCGGCGATCGAGAGAGCGGTATTGACACCGTGTATGGTGTTTATCTCGACAACGATGGAATGCTGTTCGGTAATAAACATTTTGACGTGGACAACGCGGATAATATAATTATCGATGGTGTAAGATACGTCGGCACACCTGATTTTTACGAGTTGATCTTCAAGAAAGCCCCCTATGACGTCATCTATACGGAGGATGATAAGCAAACGTACAGGAGCATGCTGTTGACGACAAGCGCGCATAAACAATCACGATGCGCACGGTCGATTACTGAGTAACAGGGGATACAAATACAAAGAAATAATCGCAAAGTTGATACCGATCGAACCCAAGGAAAAAAAATCTGGAAAGGGATTATTCGTGCCTCGCGAAGTGACGCTAACCGACAACAAGATCGACTACGTGCACTGGGACGATCCCAACGAGCTGGTAGATCGTCTACGATTGCTCAATGCTTCGCTCCAAGCGGGCCACAACGGTCATGACAATGAGATCCTGTCGATCATCGAGGAACTTCGCGAAGCCGGCATTATTATAAATTAAACGGTGTCTCGACAAAACTAATCAATCGATCGACCGACATCGCTCGCATCGATGATGCATATCAACAAATTTGGGATATCCGAGCAGAGCAAAGACGTGACGAACGCCATTTCGTACCGTCGATGGAGCGGATTAATGAGAAATTTCGTGCGCGATAACGCTCTGTGTCGCACCGTTACGGACTTTGACGCGAGGTCGCGCAAGATTCGCCGTGTAGCGCAACCTGAGACTGATACCGACGCCGTCAACAAACTGTACCTGGATCGGTGCGTTAAAACGTTGAGAAATCAACTGAAAGAGTCAGACGAGAAGCTTGCCGCGTTAGAGAAAGACGTGCGAGCGTTACAGACTGTGGTAAACGAGCTTCGGCGTGCGAATATC